TGGTTTCTTTGATTAGAAAGTAGTACTGGGATGCAAAATCTGGGTAGGGTAGGTGTCCTTATTGTTGTGAGGATGTTTGTTGCTCTTGGGTCCACAACAAAGAAATATATATTATACCAAATTGAGTAGATACTCATATTTCTGTATATAACCATTGGAATCCACATTGAGATAATTGTAAATTTATACTGATATCTCCATTTCTGATCTATTACCACATGTATCATTCACATCTCTGACTCTTGCTTATTTGTAAACTGACATTCCCATCAGTGAAGAACCTCACACTATCTAAAATGTGCTGTCCATTTACCTAACTGTTCAATTTTAGTGTGCATGTATATAAATACAGTGCAAGAAATGCTAACCTGTGCTCATGTAGGGAACAACTTTATCAACTAGAATATGGTATTCATGTACATTTTCTTTTGCCTTTGGTTTCACAGAGTATACACATTTCCTACAATTGTCTTTAGACATTCAAGAAATCTTGTTTTCGTCACTATTTTTTAATTTTTTAAAAAAGATTTATTTATTTATGTATACAAGAACTGGGCTACAGGCCAGACATGCGGCCAGACATGCGGGGGGAAGTAGAGGGAGAAGATTCACCAGAAACAGAGTGGGGAACAGTACAGGCAAATTGACTGAAACACACTGATGAAAGAAGCAGCAGGAGAGACAGGAGAGGTCTGCTGTGCCATGTGGGTAGCTCCCTGGCTGGGGATCGAACTCATGCTGCAGTGGCTGCGGACAGATTCATAGGTTGCGTCTTAACCCCTTGTGCCACCAGGGAGGCCCATTTTGGTCACTTTTTAAATCTTCATATTTATTTTTATTAACCCTTAGAGTTTCCTGTTAATGGTCTTGGGTTTTATATGTAGTAATATTTTGAGATGTATATATAAATATGTATGTCTCAAATTAATGTACACTTAATTTATAAAGTTTTCTGTCCTCTTTCTCAATATTAATATCTCTGATTAGTGTATGCCTGTAAAGATCAAAATGTAATGTCTATGACTGACATTCTGGTTACAGAAATGCAAAAATTATAATTGAGTTTGTTACCTATTAGTAGAAAACGTAATAGTCAGGGAAACACAAAGAACAATGGCTTTACTGGAGATTGTCTGGGATATTTTCCTGTAATTTACATTTACATGTATTTTTTACTTGTCGTAATTCTTTTGTCATTAAAATTTGTTATAACTTAGAAAGATGATCTCAGTGATAAGCAATTGTTGAAATGCAAAATTTTTAACTAACCTCCCAGGAATGTAATATTTAGCTGGGAAGCTTGAGTGACTCAAAGCTTGTGAAACATTAAAGAAAATTCTATTTTTTTATTTACTGTAAAATGTTTGTTATTCAAAGTTGATGTTCACCCAGACTGTACTTGAATTTGTCAGTGCTCTATGAATTATTCCAAAATCATACAGAGTGAATGTTCTCTTACTAGAAACACTATGCTTAGTTTCTTTGATACTTAATTGAATTTGCTAGAAAATAAGTACACTTATTTAGTGTTAAATAATGGTGGCAATCTGGCTAAAGTTTTATGCAACAGGTCTGTTTCACTTTAAATTTGATTATCTGTTGGTAATGATTCCTTCACTACTATTTTTTAATGTAAAGCTATGTAGATACTAATTACTTTCTTCTAGCTCTAATTCTTTAAGATTTTTTTTACATTTATTTATTTATTTATTTATTTATTTATTTATTTATTTATTGTTTATATAAGCACTGGGTACAGTCAGAAGCACGGGAGGGTGAGAGAATTCACCAGAGCCAGAGCGGGGAACAGAAAAGGCAGACTGACGAAATACACTGCTGAGGGGAGCAGCGGGCGTGGCTGGAGAGGTCTGTGTGCCTTGTGGAACCCTCGCCAGTGACTGGAGATGGAACTGGCACTGCAGAGGCTGTGGGCAGCTTCACAGCCCAGCGCTCAACTGCTGCGCCACCAGGGGAGGCCCTAATTCTCTAGGATTTTTAAGAGAACTGTGGTATTTAAAACAGTAATGGTTACTTGTTCCTTCTAATACATTTTCTTTAGCATTTACTAATATTATCTTGTGAATGTTCTTATTGGATCTAATATACAATGAATTTTAAATATAGATTCTCTAATATGAAAGTTTTTCCATTTCCTTGATAAAATCTGCTTGGTTATAGTTGATTTGGTTAATTATTACTAAAGATAACTTGCTAATATTTTCTATTATGTACAAATATTTTGTATTTCACAAATATGTTGTTTTCTTAAATGAAAGTTGCCTTTTCTTTTGTGTATTTGTTACAGGGCAAACCTGTATCTTACAATTTTGTATGTCAAAAAGAGGTGACCTGGGTTCTGAGTCCCGACTGCCATGCTTGAGAACTCAGGACAAGATCTAAAAGCAGCCTGCCAAAACTTTAGCCCTATGAAATCTATGTCAAACCTTTGACATACAAAATTGTAACATAATAAAATGTGTGTTGGTTTAAACCACTTCATTTGTGGTAATTAGTTATACCAGGAACAGAAAATTAATTCAGCAAGATATATTTTATCTTTATTTTATTTACAAGGATGTTTGTCCCATGCTGAATGCTCATTCTGCTGGGCTGGCTGCCAAAACCTCTTAGAGGCCCCATGACCCTTTTGTTATCATTTGTTACCAGTGAGATGCTGTTGTCTCTGCCTTCCTGTTCCCATGAATTCTGGTGATAACAGCAGGCTCTTCAAAGGCTGGGAAATCTGGGGGTTAGTTTACCCACTCTAGGCATAGCTGAAGTCATGCCTTCATTTATCTAATTTGGATGTCTGCAGCATTGTGGGGGTGGTATTTCAGTTACCCGTTGTTCTGTTCCAGGTTACAAGAAATCTTCCCTCTAGAATTTTTTTTTGCTTTTACTTCAAGGCACTTATCCAGCTATGGCTGTATCCTTCATGGCAGTTTTCAATGATGTCGGCTGAAGTAGGGGAGAATGGATTACAGAGAAACAAGGATAAAGCAGGGGGTCACTTATATGCCTATGGTAATATTCTTGGCAAATGATGATAAGGAATTGAACTGGGAAAAAATTAGAGAGAATAAATGGCTGGACTTTGAATACATTGATGAAAAGAGCCAATGATCTGACTTGTGGTGTTAAAGAGAAGACCAAATAAAAGCAGGTTTATCAGGACTCATCTCACCTCACATACCTCATAGTTGGGAGTAAAGAGAGACTGTAAATGACTAGAGCACATTCACATCATGAAACTGTAGGTTCAAGTTTAAAGGTGGTCACATGAAAATGTAATTTTGGTTGTTGAAGAATTGGTTCTGCAACCTAAGTAAGCAGCCAAGACTTCTTGATTTTCTGATTCACCTCAAGTTCTAGTCTCTGGGTTTTTGCTAACCTCCAGTTCCAGCTGCCTTCCTAGACTCATCACCAGGAAGGTGTTTCAGACTTTTCTCTCCTTTCCTTAGGGCATTCCAAAAGAAATGATGGGTGGTGTTGACAGGTGAAAAAAATGCTGGAAAGTAAAAGCAATAGCCTGGATTCTACTCACAAGCTTTTGATTTTAAGCTGAATGGAAATCTAATAGAAAAGTAAATACTTTAAGAAAGAAATCATTCTTTTTCTGTGAGAGGTAAATCTGTCTTATATTTACTCCTTAATAGTTTGAGAATCAAGATAATTATGATGGTAAAACTTAACACACGTTGGTAAACACTGTTAGAGGAACAAAGTGTCAACAAATAAAACAAATGAGCACCCATTTTGGGTGCTCATTTTTCTGTTGACTTCATTTGGTTTAAAAAAAACAACAACAACTTGTAGGGTAACGTAAAAGTATCCGGCTTCTCTGCCCTCCCGCCATTAGGATAGATGACTGAGCTACGGTCCTGAATGCATGCCTGATGGCGGGCACCTGGAGTAGGGTGTGGGCATGAGTAGATGGGATTCACCTGGGCTGAGACTGGGCTTTTAGGGGCGGCATCGCCGGGACGCCAAGAGAAGATAAGAGTAGATGCTGAGAAAGAAGCAGAGAGACAGAGAAAACGCTGGAGAGCCCAGATAGAGTGAAGACTTGCTGGGGGCTGGGAGGGCTGCCAACCTCCTGGCCCCCCCAGCACCCCTGCCTGCCATGTGCCTGGTAAATCCCAATAAAAGCTGCAAAGCCACCGAGGTCTCCATAACTCGTTCCTGCTTTACCCGGTCTGCTGGATCATAGAAAACCTGCTCAGTGGCCTACACAATTACCCCTACACAACTACAGGCTATATTTTTGTTATTCAAGAGCTGTAAACACTTGGGTAAAGTAATAATCGTTCCATATTTTCTCATGCAGGAAACATGGTTTGTAGTACTCTAGGTCAGTCCTCCTGTGGATGTTAAGAGGTCTGGGACACTTAAAAACCTCCTTTAACAAGTGTTATGTTTCTAGTGTAAAACCATAAGCTTGATGTTCAGAAGTACCAACAAGAGTACATGGATCACTAGTCCTCTTGAGCAATAAGTTCGCATAATGAAAAAGGCACAGCCTTGAATCCAGTTATAAGTCGGTAGCTCTTAAATATTATTTAATTATCAAGTATACATGCAGCAAATGCTTTGCGAGCACTCACTGGTGGAAACTCAGCCAATTCTTAAATTTCCTTCTTAAGGCGGAAATACAGAAATTCACTTTATTTTCACTTTTAGAAGAATGGAATTAAAGAAGATAGATTCGAGTTTGCGATCTGGGGTGAAGTCCTCCACCTGCCTCAGCAGCATTTACCTAATCACCAGCACCCCCTGGGGGACTCACACTTTACTTCCGCATTCTACAAGCACTGTCGGCACTGACCAATGGACTCGTTCCTTTTCCGCTGGGGGGCGGGACTTAAAAAAAACCCTGGGCTTCAGGGACACGCCCCCTTACGTAGCGTGCGTGCGTGGCGCCGTGCGGCGCGGGCTGATTTCTCCAGCGTGTGGCGCCCCCCGGCGGCAGCGGCGCATCAATGTGACGGACGGCCCCGCGCGCCAGCCATGGAGCCGCAGAAAGAGGCGCGAACTGGCAGGGACCCGGTAGCGCAGCCGCCAGAGGCCTCGAGGTCTCACGCGCCGAACGAGGAGGAGCGGCGAGAGGGCGGCGCAGCGCTGGCGTCGGCTGCCGTGGGCGCGGAGGCGGACGGAGCCAGTGCGGACGGGCTGTGGGAGCTGCCCGTGGAGCCCGCCCAGCGGAGGCCCGAGTGCAGCCGCTGCAGGTGACTCAGGCGGTGGGTGGGGCCTGCGGCGGGCGCCGCTGTCGAGGAGGCTGCAGCGCCCCCTGCCGGGGAGGCGGCTGCAGGGGCTCCGCCAAGGGGCACCTGGCGTGGCTGCATCCGCTGATGCACCTTGGAGTAAAAAGCCGCCCCTCCTGATTCATGATTATTTAACCTTACTCCCTGCAGGACACGGAGCATGTCATGGGGTGAGCAGACAAGTTCTGCTGTCAGGAAACTTAGGCGTCTCATCAAGAGACAGTAGGGAGTCAGGAGAATAATATTGCACACTTTTATGTTTAAGGGACACAGCCTTATTGCTGCAAAAAACCAAAAAGGGTCGGAGGGGAGAGACAAGCCAGGTGGCTGTCACACTAGTTAAGACTGTCGAGAATTCACTTAGAGGTATTTATGGAGTGCCTACTGTGTGCCAGGCACTGTGCTGGGCTCTGGGAGTGCAGGGATTTGTCCTTATTGGGCCACCTATAGTTTATTTTTTTTGTTTATCATTTTCTTTCTTTCTTTTTAAAATTTAATTTAATTTTATATATTTTTTGCATCATTTTTCATTTTTGCACATGTATGCATTTTCATCTTGATTATATTCCCCATACAATGCCCACCCCACCTTAATTTGACCCTACTCCTTGCTCCCCTCCCCTCCCAGTGTATCTCTGGATTATAGTTGCTTGTTGATTTTGATTTTTACTTTATTATATAGGGCCACCTATAGTTTAATGGAGAGACAATTGATGCCGCAAACAGTAACAATCATGACCCTGAGCATTATTGAGCTCTCACGATATGCCGGATTGTTTAAGTATACTTCAGGATTTTCTGAGCTGGTGTATTTCAGCCTTGTCAGGAATGCTTCCCCCCCGCCCTCACTTGAATTACATGCTTTTCGAATAAACCATTCTTTTTACTTCCTAGGTCTAGGGTCATTTACCCTGGTTACCTAATCTCCAACTATCACCTGTCTTTTATTGCCCATCCAATTTTGAGTATTACTGATGCCTCCACTACCCAGGAGTCACTCTACTTTGACATCAGCTTCCAGCTGTCTTGAAATGTTCTGCAAAAGTCTCCTTCATGAGATGAAATCTCATGGGCCCCTTTCTGTTCACTTTTCCTGTCACCTCATGGCTTCCCTTTGATTTATCTTTTTCTGGTCCTCTCTCCTTTGCCTAAAGGGTAGGCTTTCCCAGAATTTGAGTCTAGATTCTATTTTCTTCTGACTCACACCTGTCCCACAAGTGCTTGTCCCAGTTTTCACAGATGAGTTGTTAACTCTGTCCCAGTGTCTGTAGCCCAGATCTTTTTTTTTTAAGATTTATTTATTTATGCATACAAGAGCTGGGGTACAGGCCAGAGTTGTGAGGGGTGAGAGGATTCACCAGAGACAGAGTGGGGAACAGAATAGGCAGACTGACTGAAATACTCAGCTGAGGGGAGCAGTGGGCGAGACAGGAGAGGTCTGCTGCGCCATGTGGGTAGCTCCCTGGCCGGCCAGGGATGGAACTCGTGCTGCAGAGGCTGTGGATTGCTTCATAGTGCGGTGCTTAACCCCTTGAGCCACCAGGAAGACCCCTAGGCCTCTCTTCTGTGCACTATATCTGGACATTCATTTAGCCAGAGCTTACTGAGTGCTTTGTTAATCACTGATGATATAGTGCCTGCATGGAGAATATCATTTGTTATTGGTTACAGATAATAAACTAGTTAACAAGCCACCAAATATATAATTAAATATTGTAATTACAGATTGAAAATGTAAACTCAGAGAAAAACAAACAGCAGTGAAGGAATGAGATGCTCTGACAAAAATAGGTGTGCTTTCATAATGATTAAAATAGGAAGTTGTTTCCCCATTACCCATATCAAGCACTTTAAAATAAGCTAAACAGTTCTAAAGTGAATTAAGTTTAACGAGCCTTGCTCATTAAAAATAATTGCAACGTCAGAAATTTTACGAAGTTGTAGAAAGCAATAGAAATATTTTATAAAGAAATGAAGTGAATCATACTATACACATTGGTAATTGTACCCAAGTCAGAAATTTTTTTCTCTTTTGATAGCACAGATATGTATTTATACTATGATCTATCATTAAATCATATGCTTTAACCAAGAGAAAAGTACAGCCTCACGTGTTATTTCCAGATTGTAGCAGACCCCATTAAATGAGATATCTTAGTAAGACCTTGTATAAACAGTGTCACCAAGAGGTTAATTTTTTAAAGATTTATTTTGTTTAAACAAGAATCGGTATAGGCTAGATGTGCGGGAGGGTGAGCGGATTCACCAGAGACAAAGCAGGGAACAGAACAGGCAGACTGACGAGACAGGAGAGGTCTGCCGCCATGTGGGTTGCTCTGAGGCCGGTGGGGATCGAACTGGCACTGCAGAGGTGGCGGACAGCTTCACAGCGCTGTGTTCAACCTCCTGCCCCACCAGGGAGGCCCTCTATTTTCCTTTCTTTATGTGTCTTTTTCCTTATTGCTTTCCCAGGTACTGAGCTGCAGAAACTAAAAAATGACCATTATATATGCTGGTCCTTATAAATAGGCTATTCTGCTAACCACTAGGAGAATTATCTTGATGAAATGGGATTATGAGTGTAAAATATCCAGTGAGAATATGAGGTTCAGGTTTTGGCTCTTGTCCCCAAAGCCAGCAGCAACCAGGCCATATAAATGAGTAAAGAAGAAATTAATAAAAGCTAAATCCCCTACACGGGCGCCCATCAGCATCAAGATACCTGCACAGTTGCAGTTAGTCCTCAGGCTGAAATGTAATTCTCTCAAGGAGTCTCCATGTTGTTATAAAGATTTTAGACAATTAACATGAATGAAAAATAGCAGGGTGGTGTCATGAAAGATCTCTCAGGAAATAGCATTTTGAAAATATATTGAGGTTTGAAAGATGAGCGATCCAGCCAGGAGAAGCACATTCTCAGAAGGAGAGCAGAAGGATGACTCTGTTGAATGTCTTCAATTTACTTGAAGAATCCTGTCTCTGATATTTTCACCTTGTCCCTGGTTGGATTATAAGACCTCAGAGAAGGAATCTTAAATGTAAGGATTTAAAAAAAAAAAATCTTTCTCGATGTACCATGTATAGTAGACACTCAGCAAACCTTTGAGGAGGATGAATAATTTGTGACTAAAGGGATTGTGTATGTGAACAAAAGAGTAAGTTGAGTGAAGAAATTTGGTGAGAACCGTTACAACTACTGTGATGGGGGTCTTAGTAGGTACTAAAGTGTTTCAAACACAAATTTAAGGTTAAATTATCATCCCAGCTTTATCATAGTTTTTAGCCTATTCAGATCTGCTATTTATAAACACAATATAGAATTTAAAAAAATTAGTCTACTATGCTTAGCAAAGATTTGTGTATTTTCCACATCTGTCTTGTACCACCACCTGCTTTAATAGAATTTTTTAGATTTACAGAAAAATTAGGCGGAAATCACAGAGATTTCCCATATACCCCTGTTCCCACACATGCTTAGCTTCCTCCATTACCAACATCTTCCACCAAGGTGGTCCATTTGTCACAATTTATGAACCTTCTTTCCTGCATCATCATTCCAAGTCCATAGTTTACATTAGGGATCACTCTTGGTACATATTTTGACTTTGGATAAATTTATAAGAACACATGTCTGCCATTATAGTATCATACAAAATATTTTTATTACCCTTTAAATCCTCTTTGCTCAGCCTTTCCATCCTTCTCTGTCGTCTAACCTCATATGCTTTTTAAAAAATTAAAAAGGACTTGCTGGGTATAGCTGTTTTCAGTTATATTAGTTCATATTTAGGATAGAATTCATTCCAGTATTTTTGCAGTTTGCTTATTTCTAGAGTAATTTCTGTCTTTCAAAAAACCCTTTGCCCCCTTGGTATGTTATGGTTCTATAAATATGTGTGTGTGTAAATATATAAATCATTATATATTATTTTATAAAATTATTTTTTCATTTGTTAGGATCCTATGAGTTCCCTGGATGAACTTATTTACATTTATGTTTGTAATAGTTATGTTTTTTTAAAAGATTTATTTATTTATTTATACAAGCACTGGGTACAGTCAGAAGTGCGGGAGGGTGAGAGAATTCACCAGAGTCAGAGCGGAGAGCTGAGCAGGCAGACTGACGAAATACACTGCTGAGGGGAGCAGCGGGCGGCAGGAGAGGTCTGCGCGCCATGTGGGATCCTCACTCGGTGGCCAGGGATTGAACCGGTGTTGCAGAGCTGCAGGCAGCTTTGCAACCTAGCGCTCAACTGCTGGGCCACCAGGGGAGGCCCTGTAATAGTTTTTAAAGCTAGAATGTATTCTTGGATTTGAATCATAAGTAAGTCACAATTATTTGGCCATTTATTTATGACCGTGTTAATTTCCCTGAATGCATTACTAGAATTGTCACAGTCTAGGAAGTTTCAGAAATTGGTTTTGTTTAGGAAGTGCAAACTCACTTTAACTTCTCAGTAGAATCTTGCTCATTAGAAATACATTGTATCTTAAACCTGCATGGATTATTCTTTAAAAATCCTCACACCAATTTGTTGTTGCAAGATACAGATTTTATAAATTTAGTCTTTCCCTTCTGCGTGTCTTGTTTGCCAAACCTGGCTATATTTCATTGAACTCTTAATTCCATTTTTCCAGATGTGTCAATTTAACTTTTTTTAAATTTAAAGACAAAATCTTGGTGGAGCTCCTCAAAGTGTCTTTGGCACTATGTGAGATGGAATAAGAAGGGTGAAGATCATAGGATGTGGAAGCTGCATTAAATATTTGTTGAATTAATTGACAAGTTAATTTGTTCAACAAATAATGTGAGAGACTGTTTTAAGGCATTGTGTTAGGCAGAGAAATATGAAATACAGAGCTTCATAAGGTATGGCTGCAACTGTGCTGGAGATCAGGGTATTATAGGAAATGGCATATCCATTAGGGGACCCTCAAGGTAAAAGTCTGGTGATCTGATTATT